TCTTTGTTAACTGTGCATGTTTTATGGAACGTCTATTTTCCTTTGGATCATCTTTGTCTCTGGGCACCATCTTACTGGAGATAACCTTTATATTTGTCAACTTTTTCTTAGTGTCCTTAGTTTTGGCAGTTTTATCGTGATCCACTTTTTTTCCCTTTACTCTCTCTTTTTCGCTCTTAGTAAACTCTTTCCCGAATATATCTGAATCAGCAATTTTCCTATCTTTCAAGTCATCTTTATCTTTCTTCTCTTTTTTTCTCTCTTCATTTTTATGTTCCTTCCTTGACTTAGGTTTCTCTTTTTCTTTCTTGAATTCTTCTTTAATGAGTTCTTTAACTTTCAGGTTTTCCAGACAAAAGAAAAAATATTTATTGAATGCATCTTTTAATTCATGTATCAACAACTCTGTGCAAAAGTATTGCCTTTTTATCTCTCCCACCCTTCCAAACAAATTGCTCGTTCAAAAATTATCTTTTATCCATTCATTTTTAAATTGGTTAAACATAGTTGCAAACCTATATGAAAGATCAGCTACAAAAGAAGCTAGAAACTTGCCATCAAAAATTTCCAACTTGAATGGCTGACATTAAAAGAAGGACTGCATGCAGCATTATTAAAATGAGTCCATCCATAAAGCAGTGCTTTACTCAAAATGCTTGCAATGCACATTTCACAACCAGAATGACAAAGTTAAAGGAACAGTGAAAAAAAAATACATATTTATAACTTTTCTTTATACAATATTTAAAAACTTATCTAATAAAAATCATGTCACTAAAGCATTTATACTTACAATTATTAAAAAAACTACAGTTCAAATGAAACTTTGAATGATTTCATTTTCTTATATAATTAAGCAAAAAACTATAAATGAATATAAAAATTTAACTTCATTATCTATAGAGTGCAAATGACTAACAGAATTCCTTATCTACGTATATTCAACTTCATGGAATCAGTAATCTTTTAAGTATATTCCCCTTTAAACTTACATATAGCCACTAAAGCTAACATAGGGATGTTGTTGTGTGCTGTTGAGTCAGTTCTGACTCATAGTAACCTCGTACAAGGTTTATGAGACTGTACATCTTTAGAGGAAAAGAAAGCCATATCTTTCTCGTTCGCAGAGACTGGTGGATTCAACTACTGATCATGTAGTTAGCAGCCCAACAAAAAACCCACCCACCAGGGCACCAACATAGGGTTGTTTTTGTTAAGTGCTGTCGAGTCAATTCTGACCCATAGTAACCCTGTACATGGTTTCCGAGGCGCACCTGGTGAGCCTGAAACACCAACCATGCAGTTCAAATGATTTTGCAGTCTGACGCATTCACCCATACCACCACACCAGGGCTCCCCATGATAGGGTAGAGAGCAGTTAAATGAAATATCCAGTACTTCCAAATATCACTTAAGATAATGCTTTTAACTATATGTAATGCCTTACATTAAATTTAATATGGCTATTTGTTTCTTGTTCTTTCATTAGGAGATAATAGAAAAACAAGGTAATTACTGTAGAACGTAACAATGAAGCAGCAACAAAAAAATGTGAATATTTCCAAATGATAAAATGTGGAAAACTCACATTAAACCAAATGTCATTTAAACTGAATACTGGTTTTCTGGTGCTTACTAAAAGAAGTATTATATCTTACAAAAAATCTTGATTAATCACTAAAAAACATAATGTAGACTGGCACAATTAACTGAATTTCCTTCTGCTGTTGAGCAAACAGAAAATTTTTTTTATTGTTCTGGAGAACTTATTAAAATCCTATAAAATATAGAATAGCATTCACACAGAATCTATCCTTGAGTATTCCCTCTACTCATGCTGTGTGTATTGCAAGTACAATGCTATCAAATCTCATTTTGCATTTTGTTTTCTTTTTAAATATCAAATATTTAGTATTTAATTTGCCTCTCCAGATCAAAAAGGATAATTGTACAATATTGAGCATTTATTTCTTAATTACTTAAATAAGGATAAATGGTGAAAGTTCTGTTACTATATCTATCACATAAGATAAAACCGTTAAAAGGCTAAATTTTTCAAAATCTAAAATTACGATACAAACTATGACATTCCAATTGTTAATCTCTCAAACACACAACAAAGAAAACAATACGCTAAGCACTTGAACATAAGAATACTACAAGTGTATTGTAAAGGAAAACATGCACTTGGACTTCCCCATGCCCCATTCGTAATGGACATAAATATTTATACACAAACAAGAAAAACACACAAATATAAACTAAGGCTGTTATGAAAGGCTGTTATCCTCTATACACTTTTTAACAGGAATGGTGATTTTTAAGGAATTAAAATACTACAAATCTATGCCAAGATAATGCCATGTTCCAAATTACTAAAAACAATTTTGATTATACTGTAGCTTTCATTGTTCTAAAACACAGTATATATCATTAGAGTTTTTTGAAAAATAGCATTAATCACTGATAACATTACCTTTTTTTAATAGTAATTTAAAAATACAAAGAAATGTTTTATTTAGAAAGGTAGGTAGAATGTGATATGTAAATTAAAAAATACAGTCTAAGGAGCTCTGGTAGCATAGTGGTTACGAATCGGGCTGCGAACCTTAAAGTCAGCGGTTCGAAACTACCAGCCGCTCCGCGGGAGAAAGATGAGGCTTTCTACTCCCGTAAGGATTTACACCCTCGGAAACCCTGTACAGGGTCGCTATAGGTCGGAACCGACTCGACGGCACTTAACAACAACAACAACAACAATATATGCTATATCAGAATAATAATAACATTACTATAATATTTAGGGCTTCAAAAAAGTTCAAAGAAAAATAGAACACAAATTTTTGAATCTCCTTTGTATAATAAGCTCATAATGTAAAGACTGCCAAAAATACTTATAATAATATGTAAAATAAATTACTTAATATTACAGACTTGAGGCAGTAATTTATTTAATGAACTTTTGATGAAATTATTTATAAGTACGATGCACCCAAAACCTCAGAGTAGTAATGTTAAGCATTAGAAGCTGAATTTACATAACATATTTAGAAAATAATCATGCATGTTTAAGAATTAAACTTCATTCTTTCAAGCTGATTTGAAAAGCAGAAAATACCTTTGGCCTTAGTTTTTCTCTGGGCTACCCCACTGGGTCCTTCTGTTGATATTTACAAGATAAAAATAAGTTATGAACAAAAATATTATGGAAATTCAAAAGTAAGTATTGATAAAAGTTTTAACTAATGTCTCTATTAAGCAAACAAGGATCACCATGGATCAGAATCTATCTACTCCACAACACTTAACAATAACAACAACATTAAGCAAATTAAGCTTCTTAAATACATTTCAAAAGCCTCTTAATTACAATGTATTGGAGTTACAAGGAAACAGTTTTATAATGATCTTCTTTTTAAATGTGTTTTTATGTATTTCATTTGTATGTATATATGTATGAAACAAAGCATATAATTAATTGACTGTAGAGCTGAAGATCTTTTCTGTTAACCTTCACTCAATTCACAACAAAAAGTTTACAAATATATAAATAACAACATGGAGGCGAGCAATGATGGCAGTTAGGGTGGAGATGCACTGCGGTTCACCATCAGCAATGCCGCAGAATACCAGGCAAAGCAGATTCAGGTCAGAACTCCAAAACTCAGAACCACACAGATAGGAATATTTAAAAGGATTGAAGGCTTACAGCTAGTAGAACTTGTAGCAAAAGTAAGAAATCATGTACTTTTGAATCTTCCAGACTTGGTGGCCCAGAGCATACAACTTGGGCTACACCAAAAGGAAAGACTAACCGGGGAAGCAGACACACCATGGAAAAACCACCGCGGGAAACTCAGAGCAAAGGTGGACAATACTTTTTGTCAGTTTTGCTTTGTTCTAATGATCTTTTTTTTTTTTTTTTTTTTTTTTTTTGCCTTCTTTTTTCTTTACTACTCTCTAGTTTGTTTCTGTTTCCATCCTTCCTATTTTAGTGTTTTTTGACTCCTTTTTTAA